GACACAACACTAAATATTTCCTTTCATTTTTAGTCTTCTAGATAAGCAGATTTATTCCAATTATGCCAGAAATAAAGTCCCCTCTGAAGGTCTTACTTTCTATACTATGTCTGTGAACTTGTATGCATGTGTGCGTGTGTGTGTGTGTGCTGAGATGATAGGATCTGCTATCAGTGATAGCATGAGTTTTTAATGTGGAATTGTTGCCCTTACTGGGAATGCATGAAGTCGAGATTTTCTTACCTGGAATCTAAATTCAGAATTTACTTGTTAAACTTAACAAGGCAACAAACTCCAACTGCTGCCCAAAAGATCCCATTCAACAAAGTGTCCTATTAGGAATTACCTATTTGTTAACCCACCTAACTAACATAACCTAATAAGACATGCCTGGGAGAGTCTTTTATTTATATACTTTTAAGCACCATTGGGTAAATGATTGTATTCAGATTTTTTTTTAAATCTATGATTAGGTTGGGGATTTAGCTCAGTGGTTCCACCGCCCACTTCTCAAGTGCAGGGTTCCGAGTTTGATCCCCAGTACCAAAAACAGAAACAAAAAAATCTATGACAGACAGGCAGCTTTCGCCAGTCAGCGTGACACATTCCACATCTCACTGCATGGATGCTGGAAGGGACAGGCACGTCTCACCTATTTCAAAGCCTTTTCTTACACTCACCCTGGTGTTTTCCTAGGAATAACTGTTTCCTTTTGAACTTTGATGTATTCTATTACAAAACAGAACTGTAGCAGGGGAAAGTATTGAAATGGGTCATTATTTTCTGAAAACATTTTCTTATCTACACTACAATGGGGAAGCAACAGAGGACATTTAATGTATATTCCATGAGGAAAAGTGTGAGAGCAGCGAAATACACAGAATTCTCAAATAGAAACTGCACAAACATCTAGTCGCCAAGGAAGGGAAAAATGCTCGATTGTATACTCACAAAGTGAGAGGCTACACACTAATGAAAAAAGTCACATCACGCACAAACCTGCAAAAAGATTCTCACAAGCACAGCAACGGAAGAGATAGACTCAAAAGAGGATAATCTGTGTGAGTCTTATTTTACAAATTCCAGAAACAGGTAACATTAATTTTAGAGATGTGATTATGCTTAACTTTGGGATGTATTAATTCAGAGAAGTGAGAAGGACGTCTGGGGTACTGATAACTTCTGCTGTTACTTGGGTTGCTGATTTTATGATAGTGCTCAGTTTGCAAAAATTCAGGCATTACATATCAGTGCTATATGCATTTTTCTGTAAGAAGTTTTAAAAATTGAAGGCGATATTTTATTCGGTTAAGGCCCTTAATTTTAAGACTCTGAAGTGTAAAATCTATTCTTTTTTCAGGACAATATCATATAATCATTTATTTAAAAAATAAATATAGTAATTTCATAATGTGTGTATAATCTTAACAATTAAGCAAGATTGATGAGAGTATGAATAAGAAAAACCCTCAATCTGATGAAGGGGTTCCAATGTAGAAACATAAAATAAAACAACAGAAAGAAAAAAAAATTTTGTTTTTTTTTTTGTTTTTTGAGATAGGGTCTCACTATGTAGTCGAGACTGACCTGGAACTCACTATGTAGCCCAGGGTGGTCTTTACCCTCAATCTGCTGGAGGGGTTCCAATGTAGAAACATAAAATAAAACAACAGAAAGAAAAAAATTTTTGTTTTTTTTTGTTTTTTGAGATAGGGTCTCACTATGCAATCGAGACTGACCTGGAACTCACTATGTAGCCCAGGCTGGTCTTGAACTCACAGCGATCCTCCTGCCTCAGCCTCCCGAGTGCTGGGATTACAGGCATGCACCACCACACCTAGCTCAAAAAGAAAAATTTTAGTGTTTGCCCATTTATATATCCAAACAATGTCAGGAAGGTGAGAATGATTTTATCAGTACCGTGTCTCATGGAACCATGGAGTAAAAAGCAGAAATAACTCAGAAATTTACTTGTTTTTCAGTAGGGTCGAGTGCTGGGATTACAGGCATGCACCACCACACCTAGCTCAAAAAGAAAATTTTTAGTGTTTGTCCATTTATATATCCAAACAATGTCAGGAAGGTGAGAATGATTTTATTAGTACCATGTCTCGTGGAACCGTGGAGTAAAAAGCAGAAATAACTCAGAAATTTACTTGTTTTTCAGTAGGATTTGATGAAGCCAAACTTTTCTCATGGCATTCTTCATCTCCGTGTTCCTCAGCGTGTAGATCAGAGGGTTGAACATGGGAGCGATGATGGTGTAGAACAGAGCCAATACTTTATCTTCTGGGTACGTTGCTGCCGGTCTGATGTAAATGAATAACGCAGGTGTGAAAAGCAAGACCACGACAGCTATTGTGTAGATCAGAGGGTTGAACATGGGAGCGATGATGGTGTAGAAGAGAGCCAATACTTTATCTTCTGGGTACGTTGTTGCTGGTCTGATGTAAATGAATAACGCAGGTGTGAAAAACAAGACCACGACAGCTACGTGAGCACTGCAGGTGGAAAGCGCTTTGGTGCGGCTCTCCACTGAACATGCTCTTAAGGCTTGCAGTATGAAAAAGTAAGACAACATCAAGACTACAAAGGTCACCAAAGCAATTAAGCCTGAATTAGCAATGACCAAGAGACCAAATGTGTGTGTGTCCATGCAAGCCAACTTCAGCAAAGGGTACACATCGCAGAAGTAGTGGTCTATCTCATTGGGACCACAGAACGGTAAGAAGACGGTGAGGAGGAGCTGGCTGGCCGAGTGCAGGAATCCCCCAGAACAACAGGCTGAGATGATCCAGTTACACCTGGGCCTGCTCATGATTACAGTGTAGTGCAGCGGCCTGCAGATGGCCACGTAGTGGTCATAGGCCATCCCCGTGAGGATGAAGATCTCGATGCCTCTAAATAAATGGGTGCTAAAAAGCTGTAGCATGCAGTTACTATAGGAAATCGTCTTTCTTTCTGCCAGTAGGTCAGTCATTAGCTTGAGTGTCACCGTGGATGTATAACAAAGGTCCGAGAGGGAGAGATAATTCAGGAAGAAATACACGGGCTGGTCAATTAGCTGCGTGCGTGTGATAGAAATCATTATGAGCACATTCCCCAGCCAAATAGCAAGTTAGCAAAATAATAATAATACAAAGCAAAAGATTTCAGTGTTCTTGCTGTGGGAGACTCCCAGGAGAATAAATACAGTGATATTATGCCCCTTTTCCATGGTCTGGTTCAGACAAAAAAAAAGTCACCTGAAATGATGCAATTCACAAACATACTTACAGGTGCTTCTTGAATAGTGCAAATATCATATTCTATTTGAGGAACTAAGTAGATGCAATTTTACTTCATTCAGGGATCCTGGAGAAAACTGAACCACCAAATAAACAATAAAAAATTTTTACAAGGCTCCACACTTGAGAATATTATACTAAAGTTTGCTCATAATGCAGGGCGTTATATTTCATAAGCCAAATAGCTTTTAATCTTGTGATCAAAGGTTTGCACTTTTCTACCTTTGTCTAATTCAATCATTTTTTCCAACTCCATGAGCTGTCCAGGCAGAAATGTACTTTACAGAAGACAGATGGGACACAGTCTGTATTCTTTGCACCATACCACACCATGCCTGTGTCTTGTGTAAAGTTTCTGATTTGTTTGAGCACAAATAAAGTGGGAAAACATTCCCTCTCTTCAATACCTACCCTTGTGACATTTACTGTAGAATATGAAGACTCTGTAATTTCTAGACATATTTGTGGATATCGTGTAAACAAGAGTATGAATAGTAGTTGTCTAATGCTATATAAATATCATGGAAAATAGTTCAGTAGATTTTGTGCAAATACAACAATTTTAAAATATTTTGAGCTTGTTATTCTCAGTCAACCTCTCAATTTCTTCCTTTATCAGAGAGAGACTTTAATTTCAAGCCAAAGAAAATAAGTGAATGGTGGGACTCTCTAGTCATTCTGTGAACATTGTATCCAACCCATAGCATTTGGATACCCAAAGTCCATCTTGACTTGGAGTTAAACTGTTACAGTTTCTGATGCTGCTAAAAAGATGACACTGAATTATTTCCATCAATTTTTGTTTTTATAATTTTTTTGTTTTGTTTTTTTGAGACAGGCTCTCACTATGTAGTTGAGACTGACCTGGACAGAACTCACTATGTAGCCCAGGCTGGTCTCGAACTCACAATGATCCTCCTGCCTCAGCCTCCCGTGTGCTGGGATTACAGGCCTGTGCCACCATGCCCAGTTTGTTTTTATAATTTTAAGTTAACCTATTTACAATGGATTCCTAACAAATCACCTTAAAATGCATGCCCTTTGATAACACACATTCTCAGCCCTCACCACATACTTTGCCTGTTGGTAAAATCTCCTAAATTTCCTCCACTATTCCTCGTAGCAGTGATTTAGCTAATGTTCTTACTCAAAAAATAAATAACCACCTTTGAGCAGAGCCTGAATTTAAAATAAAACACATTCATTTCCATGAGACTTAGATTAATGTCACCTTTTTTTTGAGCAATAGGTTCGGATCTTCCCCACATCAGGCTACTACAGTACATACTTTCCCGTTAAATGAGAAAAAAATACTTTGCTGTTTTGGCTAAAATAATGAGATTGAATATAATAATGTTTGGATTTTTCTAAAAATGAATTGACATGCATTTCTGTGTTCATAAAAGTAATTATATATAAACAATTTAAAATCTAACTGAAAAATATATGCATAGAAAGAGGATTAAATGAAATTAACATTCTGAGTAAGGATAAGAGTTTTTTGAGACAAATGTCATTTGTGGAGTTTCCTAAAAATATTATTTGGATTTCGAGCTGCCCTGAGCAGAAGCGTAGGATGGATGGTTAATTTCTCTACCGGATCATTTTTCTGTTTGATTGTGACTGCTTCGCACACACAGTATTACTGTGATTAATTGTTAGCATTTTAAAATTTTACCAGGAAAAATCTATTCTTTATGATGTGGGTTAAGCTCTGATCGCATGGCATAATCTCGCCAGTCACTTTGGATGTGATTTTTGGAAACTTGATATTTTATTTGAAAAAGAGCTTTTACTTTATTTGAAATGTAAGAAAATATATCTTACTGTGTAAAATTAGTGATTGGTACTGAGTCTCACCTTTGATAATAGACGGGAATGAGCACTTACCAGGATGCAGTGGTGGATGAATGTTGTTCTGCTACTAGCAACGCAACACAAAGAAAAATAAATGAAATCCATTTAGGCTTAAGCAGGTGAGAGAATTTGTACATAGTTAAATAACCAATGTACAGCAAGCTAACCAAGTCTTAAAGGCTGAGCTTTTTTCTGCCTTTTTACAGATGAGTTCAGAAGCATCTCAAGAGTCCTTTAAAGAGTAAAAACAAAACAAAACAAAACAAAAAAACTAAAGCGATTGAATAAATTTGAAATCAAACCTCTTCCTTCCCGACTGAAATTGCACATGTGTCTGAATATATCAGTCAAAGCAAAGACACCTTGGTTTCAATCCTTGTCCCTCTTTAGCCATTCAAAGAAGGTTTAAGCAATCTCTAGATAAAAACCACAAACCAAACCACTTCAGGCTTCTTAAATGTGTACACCAACACTGGAACCCTGGAACAGCTCACGTACTTTTAGAGGGAGTGATTTATCTTTTATTCTTCCAAAGGTGAGTAATGATATGGCATTCTAGGCTACTGTTCATGTAAGAAAAATAAAGAGGAGAAAAGAAATGGAGGGCAAGTCCTATCACTACCATTTCTTAATGTGTGAGCTCATCCTCTCAGCTCCTACATATGTCTCTGTAGGATGAGTGTAATACCCTGTCTCTAAGAATCCTTCACAGAATGATGTTCTTTTTAGAATTCAAAGTACATTCTTGAACTTTTACTCCCTCCCTTCCTAGAATTGGAATACCATCTCTCCTTTTCTATGTGAAGTCCCCCGATTGACTAAGCAAATTATTCTAATTTGATCTTAATTTTCTAGAGTATGTTTCACTCTCAGTGGGCATTCAAGACCTCCCTGAACTTCATGTTTCCTTACTCTAAAAATCTCTTAGTATATAGCATTTTTAATAGAGGCTGTTTACAAATGAGCTACTGGTTAATATGTTTGTCTAGTGCAAGACTAAAGGATGCATTTTCAACAAACAATATACGTATAAGGTAATGATTGGAGAAAGAAATCATTTACTCATATGCTTTGTGTCTATTTTAAATATAATCTCTTCCTTTATAATTGTCACAACCTCTCTTCACTGAAATCACCATCATTCGTAATTGAATTATTTCCTATTTTCATTCTGATTTGAATTACTTCCTCTCGATTTACTTTTTCCCATTATTTATTTATTTTTTCAATTTTCACTTTTCATTAGTACCTGTGTGTGGTAGGTAATGATCACATCTCTCCTGTGGAGTTGGTTCATTTACGGAATGCATCTTCTGCAGCAGTCAGAGCTACTGATGTTTCATTTTGTTCTCCCCTAGTTTATGCATGAATTCACACAGAAGTCCCACTATTTGATAACTGCTGTTCTCTATCACACCTGCCACATTAAAAATTGATGGGAGGCCACCTCGTAGGAAAAAAAGGAAGAGGTAAGAGTAATTTGTTTTCAAAAACCAGTTAAATATTAGTCTCCCTAGAATCAAATTATTTCTGAGCATTTTCACACAAAAATGCCAAGTAAATATGAGGTAAAGATTGCATTCAAAAGGTACCTTTTTATCCCTCCCAAGGCATGGATTATGTACTGAAACTTAATTATTTGAATAGACCCAAGTAATCAACTCACCAGTTAAGCACCCTTTTGGAACTGGGTTACCAGAACAGTTCCATGACTGGGTTATAAATATTCTGCTGAAGATGTACCTAGGGAGAAGGTCTCTTAAACCCCATGTGCTGCAAACATTTTGAACTTTGGAGACAGGGTGCTCAAGCAATTTGAGTTTCTTTTCCCATCTCTGTAATGTGAGGAGAAAACTATAGTGCTGGGCTTTCTATTAAGGTATGATCTCCCCCGATTCCACAGTGTGTATTTTGTTCTCTAGGGAAGAAGTGCATTTGTGAATGTGTACCTTTATGCATTTCTGTTTAATATAAATTTTCTTAAAATTACAGGCACATAGCACTTTCTCTTTTATTACTTTGAGTTCTCAAAATGTTCACTAAAGTATTTGATAACAATAAATTAAAACACTCTGTAATTTTTTCTCTTCTTTATAAACAAAGCTTTTTTACATTATTCAAGGCATGAGCAAAATTGTATTTCAATATAATGTGAGAATAAAATTTAAGTTGAAAAATGCCCTTTCTACTGAAAGTGTAAATGAGGTTCACAAGGCATAACAGGTGATGTGAAATAGGAAGAAAAGGTCCGGAGGGGAAGGGGAAGTGGGACTGGGGAAAGGAAAGAAGGGAATGGAATTAATACAGGAAAAGTAAAAAATGGAATCAAAGTCTTTGTAAACAGGAAGGTGAGGAGGGGGTGAAGAGAGGGCTGGAGAATAGGGAAAAAATAAGAACCAAGACCTGTCATGTAAAGGTGCAAATTGCCAATGATGAAAGTCATTACATTGTGTACCCCAAAGGTACCAATGATATCAATTTAAAAATGTCTGTTCTGATTTTTTAAAACATTTTTCTGTTTTAGTCAAGTTTTCACTTTGTAGTCCAGGTTGGCCTCGAACTCACTGTGATCCCCCTTCCTCTGCCTCCTGAGTGCTTGGATTACAGGCTCCACCATGCACCACACTGTTCTAAAATTTTTTGGCAAGGTGCGATTGCTTTGAGATTAGTTTGAAAGAGGAGAAAATAGATGTCATGATAAAATCCTGAAATCTGATTCATGAGTCAGCACATTGACCTACAGGTAAGTAAACTGAATCAATGACAAAAATTTCCCATCCAAGAAACATCTGGTAATTTATAGTTTCACAGCTGAATTCCACCATACATTTACAGAACACCAGATACAAATACTTTTCAAAAATCAGAAAAATTTGAAGATGGAGACTCATTCTGTGAAGCCAGTATAATTCTGATATCAAAGGAAGATCAAGACACTTGCATGGAAAAAAATTCAGACCAGCATCCTTACTGAATGTAGTTGTAGAAATCCTCAGCAGATTCCTAACAAGTAGAATGCAACAGCGCAATGAAAGATGACTCAGTGCAGTCAAGTGGATTTTATCCCAGAGAT